ATTACATCGATAAGACTTACCGAAAGAAATGGAAAATTACATTAGTATGCAATAAACAAAAACATTGTCTCTGATCAATTGGGTCAAATTTAGGTAGACAGTAAACAAAAACATTGTCTCTGATCAATTGGGTCAAATTTAGGTAGACAGTAAACAAAAACATTGATGCTATATTGCAATGAGACAAATATTCACCAAAGTTTAACTAAAGTGGATGTAAGCAATTACAGGCAACCGTACGGTCCTCAACAATGAGAAAAACCCATACCGTATAGTCGGCTATAAAAGGCCTCGACATGAAAATTATGAATCAATTCAATTGAGAAAAATAAAGAACGTCATATTAGAATATAATTTTTTGCTGAACAAAACCCTAAGTCAACGTGGTAAACCAATATGTATTTCATCTCCGCTATAATTGGGAGAGAACAGATCTTAGATGAAAACATAATTTCTTTTTTTTTTTGACAAGAATACATGTAAACACGGACCTTTACAGTATTGTCAGCATTTTATTTATTTTTTTTTAAATAGAATAGGATAACGTATTAGAGGTATAACCGTGACTTTTTTTAATACACCCATTTTATATACTATAAGAATTAGACAATCCTTAATTCTAACTTTGAGAGTATAACGTTGTAGGTGTAAGTTAATTTGGTTTCTTTATCTGTTTTGCCCTATGTGACTTTAATTAAGCATTTCTCATGAATAGTAACAGACAGTCTATACATTATGATCTCTCTAATGTTATAATACGACATGATCGCTAACTGGATTATGCAAATTAAAACAGAATAGCCTTGTAGAAAGTTGAATTGATTAAAAAACATACATACAATACAATGCTTTCTTCTCCCAAATTGACTTATTCTTGCAAATGTTATTATTGCTATTTTCAAGTTTGCTTTGAAGTATTGTATTTTCAGTATTTGATAAACCAATTATTGTCCTGTGTTTCTTCCTTACATAGGCATTTAGAGATGCGTTTCTAAAAAACTTCTTAGTCAAGAAATCTCAGTTATGATAAAAAAAGTGAGCTCTACCAAATCAGAAACTTTAGTTCTTTATATTTCATTGTAATATGATGGGTTGCTGTCACAAAGACGTTAACTCTCTATTCAAAATTACGACGATATTTGGTATCATCATGTATAGATGTTTTGGAAAAGAAATGATATGATATGTCTTTACACGAGGCAACAACCACAGGTAATTTTTATGCCCCCTCCGCAGCGGAGAGGACATTAAGTGTTACCTAATACGTCTGTACGTCCGTCCATACGTAAGTCTCGAAATTGGTTTCCGTTCTCTATCTTTAGTTTGCCTCAACCAAATGTTATGAAACGTATACACAATGCTTATTACAACAAAACCCAGATCAATTTCGAATTTGGGTGGCGTCACATTACAAATGGAAAAAAATGCTGATTTTTTCGTTTACTTCCGTTCTCTAACTTAAGTTTGCCTCAACCAAATGTTATGAAACTTATACACAATGTTTATTACCACAAAATTCAGATCCATTTCGAATTTGATTGGCGTCACTTTTAATGTTCTTGAGTTATATATCCTTTATAGCGTTATATGCAAGCGGGCCATCATTTGTGTCCCATGGACACATTTTCCATTTATTTTTATAGAAATCAAAATACAGTCGTGCAGCTTGAACGGATTTTTTTTATTTATAAAAAAAAGAAAAGTAAAAACATACCAAGGGAACAATCTGAAATCATACATCAAAAACTTAACAAACAACACCTTAGCCAAAAACTAATGACGAAAAGACGACCAACAGTCCAGAAAACACTTCACACAAAACAAAAAAGCTGAGCAATACTAATTCCTCAACAAATAGGGGATTAACTCAAGTACGGAATGGTACACATTTCCGTGACTGCCCTTCAATGGCATTCATCGTGCTGCTAATGTCATGTACAGATTCGTCGATGTCATACACGAGAAAAGGATGGCCAAATCAAGATAGAGTCCAAAATTATTTTGCGAAGAAATATGACTACAACTAAACCTTTAATACACCATTGGTTCAATAGCTTCCTTGTCTATCAAGTAAGTTCTGTTATGAAACTCAAGCCCTGTGGCAACTGTGTTAATGGCAGATGTATACGTTAAGAGGCAGGTGTTTGCAGGAATGTAGCTATCTAAGAATTCAGTCACTCACTGTTAATGTCTTATTTCAAGATATGAAGCAGACTGTATGTATAGTATCCTTTATTTCAAGTTCAATGAGGTAGATGCGTATACCAATATCTATGTATTATTATATTTTAATTTATTAATGAACAAATCCTATTTATATCTTCAGACAATGAGTTAGACAAAAAACATCATCTGCTGGTCAACGACTACTCTTGATGTCAATAAATAATTGACTATTGTATAAATTGAGATTAATGGTGAATTTATAAATGACATGAGGCTAAAATTTATTCCTCATTATGACTTATTCTTTCCTGGGGCAACAACCTCGAATTTTATTTAACCACCTACAAAACTGTTGAAAACAACATGGCAAAATTTCCCATATATGCCATTTTTTTTGCGTCAATGTCATGTTGTGTCAATACGCAATGATTTACACGTTTCTGGTGTGAAAACAAATACTTGTATTTTAATCTTATTTTGTAAGACTTTAAAGAGCTTCATACTGTTTAATAAAATACATGGATCAAATGTGCATTTCACAAAGATTGATTATTTTTTGTTTAACGTTTAATAGCAAATATTTCATGCACATTCACGCCTATAACAAACTCCACAAATCCATTTGGTAGGTTCTGCAAAGTGGGACAATTGGATGAAGACGAGATGTTTTAGAAATGCCGTTTGCTAAATGTAACTTAAAGAGATATCACCAATGGTCTTCATATGCAGAGACCGTTGCTATCTCCAAACGTGTGACATCGGAATAATCATCCCATGTCGACCACACATTGCTCTATTTGTTGCAAATATTTTCACAAATCGGTATAGACCTAAATATAATGACATGAAATCATTATTTTATAGTACCTTCCTTCGCCTATTTCACACTGATTGGTCTCTCCGTTATTCTCGTATCAAGGCCTTGTATAGCCGACCATACGGTATGGGGTTTTCTCATTGTTGAAGGCCGTACGGTTGCCTATAATTGCTTACATCCACTTCATTTGAACTAAGGTGGATATTTGTCTCATTAGCAATCATACCACATTTCCTTATTTTTATTTTGAAACGTTTAATAACTTTCAACTTTGTAACTTACTTTAATAATAAAGGCATATTAAGCGAAGAACACTTTACAAAAAAAAAAACACAAAAGAAAAACGGATGAAAATATTTCTTTACGTTTCAAATTTGTATTTTTCGAAAACGTATTGAAATATGATTTTTTTGGGGGGGTTCATGTAAGCTGCAAGCTGACTTTTATCTGTGTTGGTTAAAATCTAGCTCGAGACAAAACTTTGATGACCAGTTTCAGTAGAAAATGGAAACCTGGTTATAACAATTTTTCTAGTTGTTTTTAGTTTGAATTTCGTTTCAATTTATAAAACAATCAAGAAAATATGTATTTTATCAATGATGCTCGTGACCAGTTTGTGAAGCTGGCAATTTAATAAAAGCAAAATGAATACCATTATTATTACAACGACATTTATCACAAATTTCATTAATATGCGTTTGCAATGTACGTAGCCTTTTGAGAGACATTTTTTTCCACAAATTGGGAATTGAAGATGTGATACATACTTTAATTTCTGTACCATGGTTTGTCGTATATGTAGAAGTGACGTGCCTTGATTAATCATGAATAGATATCATTAAAGTTATGTAACAAAAGCGATACTAAATATACACCACAGACAAACAAGGAAGTCTGAGATATCTCGATATTAGATGTACATTTATAAACAAGCTAATCATTAGAAAACTTTCCTTTCCCTCTCTGGTAAGCGACGGGATACATGTTTTCCTGTCACTTAGTATTGTTTCCTGTTAAACGTGATATGAACCCGGAAGTGTATTGTGTATACTAAATGTAAGGCTAAACTAAGTAAACGTTCTTAAAAATGTTTATATATTGTATATAACATTGAGAATAATCTACTTTGTTAAATAATCAATGATATTGGAGGCAAATATTGTTTTGCACCTGTCCAGTAATATTATGTTATCTATTTTTTAAATGAATCTGGCTGAAAAAATGTTACAATATTGGCGTATTTAAGACAACCAAATTAGATGTGAGGTTAAATCGAAAATGAAAATAATTAATGCTGCCTTTAGAGGTTTCTGTTACAGTAACAGGTGAGGATTTCATTCCTAATCACGCACCTTATCAATTTACATAGAGATGTTTTCACTTACTAAATATGGAATTGCAAACACTTTCTAATGAAACATTTACCATATCCTATTATGTCACGATAACTAAACATTATGATTATAAGAGAGAAGAGAAAGATATGTAATATTTAGCTTTTGATAAACAAAAAAGCACTAAAAAGGAAGTATGCTTAGCCTAAGTTTATATTCAGAATCTTCAAGGTAGACGGATTTGGTGGCGTCTTTTGTGTAATTTTAGGTCTACTCGATGCTTTTGCACTTTCTAATGTTTTTATTTTAAGCGCCACTAAACAGATACATAGATACATGTATATTTATTTAATAAAAATGCACATATCTTGCAAATTAATCTCGAAGCTTGTAATTTTGTATAAGTTTACCTCTACTTGTTACGTAAAAAAATAAACAAAACAAAAAAGATCATGAAAAATTAAAGAATAGGTTTCCTTACTAAGAAAGGCATTATTAAATATGTCAATTATGTCTATCTCTCTCATTAAGCCTGATAAAAGATATGTAATATTTAGTAGACGGATCTGTATATATAATCTCTCGCCTACGTGTAGAATTCATTAAAGATTAAATTTGTCATATATGAAAGCCGATATAAAACATTTTACTTTGAATTCAATCACACAAGAACAAAAAATAATATCCTTTGCCTAAGATCAATAGTCGGTCATATCTATTTCGCGTGAAAACAGAACAGTCAATCAATACAACGGCGGAACTTCTTCCCAGAGGAAACTATAGAACTCTTTTACACAGATTTACCAGGATTATCAATCGTCTGACAGAAAAAGAAATGCATTTACTGTAAATCGTTCGGAGTAACAATAAAAGTTATCAAAATCGTATAATACACTCTGGAAATTTTTACTTATTCAAATGGATTTTGACGACATTGGAAAGTAGATTTCGGAAATTATAGATAGTAAGTAATTAACATGGGAAATACGTAGATCAATGGGTTAAGAAAACGATCAAATAATTGAATTATAGGAAAATGAGAAATATTGATTCACTTCTCTTCCTTCAATAAATGTGAAATAGTTAAATGTGCTTTGTTTACACTTGTTCATAATTAGCAACACGTTTTAAATGTCAACCAATATCTACACTGAACAGCACTTGGAATTTGTTTCATCAACTGATCAATGTAAAGGGTGAATTAGATCGGAGATTGAAATAAACGTTGTTATCTATATCCAAGGTGAAAAATTGGAGATTTAAAATATCCACAACAAATGTTCTAATTTTGAATAAAGTGGCTCATAATAAAATCATGAGTATTCCGAGGAAAACTTCAATTGACAGACGTGGAGTAAAATCTTTATTCATAAAAACTGTGCCGAAAATAATTCTTGATGGTTCTGAAACTGATGGAATTGGCTCTCAAATGCCACATTCACGATCAGCAGGAGAGCTAGCTATGTGCCTTGATTTTCCACCAGAAAGTGGTTTATCCCGACAATACCAATCAAGCAGTGGTCTCAGTATGGAATCAAGAAATCAAATTGATATATATTGCTCACCACGAATGCACCGGAAAACTTTCAATATAAACAACGGGTACCAAGACGAGGACTTTTCGTGGTTAGAAACTACCGATCCGTCAAATTCACAAAATGCTCTTGGTGTAGGAAGTAGGTTAGGGAGCGCCCTTTCTTTAACAAGTGAATATACTTCTAGAAGTATTGGACTGATTTCAAATGATTCATCGTCTGACAGTACACAGTTCACCGACAAAATTGAACAAATAAAACAAAAACAAAGTCTTTTACGTCGATATTTATCAAATCCCGAAAAACCTGCAGAAGACAAGGAAAACACAGTTCAAAGAAGCACACAATCAGTTAACAATCTTCACAACAAAACAGAACATTTTGAGGAATCTATAAGTGACGATAGCATGGCAGACCCTGTTCCTACTTCCGGTTCGGACAGTATACCGAATGAAGCGAGTGAATTAAGGCGCCAGAGATATGAAAATGATTCAGACAATAATTCTCATCTGGTAACTATGATTACCGATGATATACATGTAAAAGAAGGTAGGATAAGACAATGGCTAACTTCAATAGGAAACCAAGAGTAGAACACAAATGGTTGACAAGGCAATCATGTGATCCTTCCGGTGGCTTCAGTTTTCCATGGTATAGCAATCAATATAATTGATTTGTTTGAGATGCTATAATAATTAAACGTTGATTTTTATAGCTTTTCTTCTTTATTTTGCGAAAAAAATCTATTCGATCACATCGTTTTAGCTAAGCTCTTAGTGCAGAATACCTTTGTAGATGAGGCATGCTACTTAAGTTTTGTTTAATTTTTCAAAATCAATACATAAAATCAATAATATTACATTTGATGGATATTCATTGAGAAAATTCTTTAAAACTGAACTTCAAAAATACATTTATTGATTTAAACCTGGAATATAAGTCACAGTAGTATTTTGTAATCACTAAAAACACATTTAAGATATTTTAAATACCAGCAACGAAATACCGATAATATTTGTCCTATAATTTAAAAAAAAATGTAGTTAGATGGACTGAAATGTTGTCATTCGCCATACATAGGCATTTCTAGAAAAAAAAACATCGCATGTCCCTCAATTTACAGAAAATAAAATATCATGTCCTCTCATACTATTCTGAGGTTGCTGCATGAATTCTACTCTGAAATCTGGCCAACGGTACGATTATCAAATTTACAATTTATAATGCCAACTTCGTGTATATTCCTTGATACAAATATAATCTTTTATATTTGAATAAAAAGCACATTTCGATGTAATCTGATCATTTTCCAGGGAAATGTCGTTTTATATTACTGGGTCTTCATCGAGACCCTCAAAAGACCAATAACTCATTTATCGAAGTAAGCAACATCTGTCCATAGTCATTTGGTCTTATCTCATCATTATTAGTAAATCAAATATTGATAAACTGAATTTTCAATATTCGACTATTTGATAAATAAATTTAGAAAAAAAGTTTACATGTATTTTTGCCATGTCATTTATCCTAGCTGAGGGGAGAGTAACATACATTTAATGTCTATGAAGGACTTCACTATGTTTCTTCACCTCTGGAGTTTGACCTTTTGGTTGAAACGAATACTAATAAAACCTCTTACATGTTAGATTTTTATTCATTGAATATATTGACATTCTTTATTGGATAATGAATGAGAAATGATTGATTTGGCTAATATGCAAAATTCTCTGCTTGACGTACGTGTGAACAGGAATTTCTTCTGACAGAAAATAATATTTTGAGATCTTCTTTTGTGAAAAAAGATTTTTATGTAAGTGTTTAATAAAAGTCCAGACGTCAATGTCCATTAAAGATACAAATCTATATCTTTAAAAACATTGAGCGATTGCGATGGGAAATTAATACTCGAGGAAATGTAGGATATAAAATTTGCTAGCAAGTATTGTTTATATATAATATAACAAAATGTAATAAAGGATTTCCTGTAGATAACTAGAGATCATTTGCAGGGTACTATGAGCTAACAGGCAGAAAATATATATTACCATGAGGGAAACCCTATCTTATTTACAGAGCAAAGACGCAATGACCAGTCTGAGATAAGCAAGACCTTATGGCATGCAAGATTGTCAAGTCGATGTTAGTTTTGGGTGCCATACATACATCTATATATATCTGTCTTTTGTTCATGTATATGTTTATTAGTTTTTAAACAATAATTAAGAAACGTTGATAGGACTAAGAGGAATATGTTGCCAAATGATCTAAATAGTTTAACTACTGTATCACTAGCCTGTCAACAATGAGGTTGTGAGTTCGAGTTCCGCATGTGGCAGGTGTGTTGGACTCCAATCTTAATTGACTAAGATTGCCAGTTTTCATGCCGAAGGTATAAAAAGTCGCATTGTAGATCAAATATTCAGCATCGTTTCAGAACGTGAAAGATTATCGAGTGGTAATCCCTGTTGAGATTTTGAGGTCAAAGCAATTTATGTTTCGGCTGACGTGAAGATGCAAGACATCTTGATGTTTTAGTCAAATCAGAATAAATATTTTTTGGGAAGGCAATATGATTCAATATAGTTTGATGTGAAATTCATTGTTTTATGCACTGTTTTGCCTTAAAAAGTTATCGAATCGTTTGTGCATTTCACCACTATCATATATATATATATATACTGTATCAGGTAATGTTGCAACTTCATATATCCTGAAATCCTTATGATTGAAATCTCGAATAGAGTATACAATTCAAATCAAATGTTATGATCAGGGATTAAATTTTAAAATACTGTCATTTATTTAACAGGGGGAGCATTGATAAGGATAGTCTCCGAAACCACACAAAACTTTGATATAGTTGAACTTGTTCCTACCGGCATAAATGTATAAACTTGTGTTGAATACGTTACTGTGGTACATGTAATTGGTCACTAAGTCTTATTGTCAAGGACAAACAAATGAACATTATGATTAATGATTGATTTATTTACTTTCATATTGTACTGGAATCTTTGCCATTTAGCAAAAACTTAAATGCTGAAGATACAAAGCTGTGACAATGAATACAAATTTTAATCATTTGTTTAAATTTGAAACAGTTGTCTTTAAGTTACAATATTGCCATCATCTGTCTACGTCCTCTTTTAACTTCTCTAAAAACACTAGACGAATCAAGTTTGAGTCAAACTTGTTATTTTTAAAAATTTTTATAAAGAAATACCAAGAAAGTTTTATGAATACATTAATATAATTTATAGAATTTTAATTAATCTAGCCTAAAATGCATCTGAAGTGTAACCAGATCTGATTCTTTATTAGTTTTAGTGGATGAAATAGCAGTATCCATCGCTATTATGGCTGGTGTATTCCTGTTGCATCTAGTCAAAAAGTACAGTTTACCGGTTTCCTATCAGTATGCTCTATAAACATTTAGTTTATACAAAACAATGAATATTCCAAGATTATCTGAAACACAAGAGTTTAGGACGAAACTGATTAAATTAATTATCAATGAATAACAAAAAATATAACGTAGAAATAAAAAATGTAATAAAAACAATTCCGAAGGTAAATTCAAAAAGAGGAAGTCTATAAAACCTAACAAAACCAAACGTTGGACTTTATCAACAAGAAGGAAGAAATGTGACACAATTCAAAACATAATTTATAATTATTGCTGCTTAATACGCAGTGGTTAATATTTCATCCTTATTCAGGACGACAACAACTTACGAGTTAATACAATAGGTAGGTTCTAAAAGATCTGTCGGAATGAATGGCGGGAAATTTGGACTGCAACTTGAAAATAAGGGTATTTTGGATAGGGAAGAAATTTTGCCTTGTAATAGGCCTACGGATCCCTCAGATAATTGTTGCAAGGGTTCTTTAATGTGTATATAGAGTGGTACTCACCTAACACAAAATACGTGATTGCGTATTTATACATCCGAAACAGCCAAACAGATTGCAAGGTTTCAATGACGGACGGGAGAAGACCAGAAATGACAATATTTCTATAATCCAGTAAACCCTGGAGGTTAAAAAGAGAAAAAAACCAACGGTCTGATATAAACTGAAACGATAAATGAAAAAATTATGACAGAAAGCAACTAACGACAACCACTTGATTTCAGTTTCATAGCTTTGGACAGTCATGTAAAGATAGTGGCGGGGTTAAACATGTTTAAGTTAAAGCCCTCAATCCTTTCCCTAACTCATTAATGTGATAAAACAGTACAATAACACATGTTACAATGTTTAATGATATATTTTGCATTCATAAATATAAAAATGTTGGAGGGGTTGTTTAACGTGTAGATAGAGTACACTCACCCAACATAGGGTAGCGGGTTTACCGGACGTGGCTGCATATTTATACATTCAACACACCCATACAGACAGCAAGGGTTTCAATACAATAATATATTATGAAAAAATCAAATATACGTGTAAATTTCCAATCTAGGAATCTTTATCTCTTATAGGCGTTGACTCAAATTTTCTTTAATATCACATACCATAATTTATGATACAGTTATATTGAATGTTTATGTCCTCAATTAGACCTAGCGTGATTTTGTATCAATACATTTAGCATAGCAAAACGGAAGCTTCAGTCTGTGTCAGATCAAAGAAGTGCAGAAAGCTGACTTTTTATATCCTATTTATCGATATTGTCATGAGGGTTTGGATTGGGGAAGGGGGGTCCTTCATTCATGTATTCTTTAACTTTTTAGGCCAATTTTCTCTACTCTTTATACTTTTTACCCATTATTCTCTATTCTTTATATTTTAGCACCCAATTATTTTCTATTCTTTATGTTTTTGGTCCATTTTTCTCTATTCTTTATATTTTTTGCCCGTTATTCTCTACTCTGTAAAGCTCCATCCACATCCTCTTTCATAGAATTTGAATGCGTAGAACCATAATTGGTCATCATTATACAACCATACGTATTCATCTGTATTGACGTATTTCTTTTAATTTCATTTTTTCATATGGAACGGACAAGAATTAATTTTGAAGAATAAAAACATAAATTTAGACATGATACATCATAAACAAATAGCTTAACGTTTGTAGTTTTGACGTAGATTCAGTTATATATGAATGTCTGATATATTTTATTGGACATTTATAGTCATTATAGCCCATCAAGATTCCAGATAGTAATTTAATTATTTGACATTATTCATTCTTTGTTTTGAAGGTTTGATCACAGATTTAATTCGTTACGCTATTCGAGAAGCTATTGATTTTGTAAGCTGAATCAGAAATGGTTTCTTTCCCTCACTGGTATATTGTGAATCCTATACATAATTTTAGATAAGTAATAAACCGATAATGTATCTGGTTTCATTTGTAATTCCATATACTGTACATTGGATCTTAATCATTTTGTTGTTGTTCGTAGAGTATTCAAAAATGCACCCTCCGAAATTTATCATTTTGAGGACAAAAGAGCATTTATGACGTCATATTACATAAGATAATGAATAAATAATGTCAACATTTTGAAAGAAACCCAACTAACAATCATTTGTTGATTAGCAAAATATAAAACAATTATGCAGTTTTGGAACGTTGCCATAATATTTGGAATTCAGCCAATATTTAAAAAATCTGAAATTAGTTTTCAATGTGCATATCCTCATAATGTAATATCGGGCGATTTTCGTTTACACCAAATATGTGTCTTTTTGCATAAC